TGGGCTTCTTCCCCTGCGCTTCGTCATGTCATCTTAGTGGGTGCGTTGGGCGTGGTTGATCCGCCCCATCCTTCTGGGATTCCCGTCTGCTCTTTGCAGACATGAGCCTTTCGAATCTGCCATTCTTCTGGACTTCTTCAGTCTGCACCCTGGTTTCTATGCCCTCCTCGGAGCACTGTTGTCTTCTGTCCGGCTTCTGTTGGGGCCGGGTGCCTGGATGGTGGCCCTAAATTCTTGGCACGTTCCTCTCCATTTTTCCGGGACTGGCACAGTTGGTGGTGGGACTTCAGGCTTGCCGCTTTTGTTGCCTTTCCTATTTTGTAATTGGCTCTTGGTGTATTTTTGCATCTTTACCGGATCTTGGTGCCCTGTCTGAGTCTGCTTGAGATTCGGTGTCTGGCCTACCTCGACGACTGGCTGGTGTGGGCTCCCAGTCGGTCCGCTTGTCTGCTTGCCAGGGGTGTGGTTCTTTCCAGATTGCCGGGTTTGGTTTCCTGGTGATCTGGAGGCCATTCCATCTGTTTCCGTCCCGGGTTCGGACCTGGGCCTTGTTTAGGGCTATTGGGCCACTCCTTGTCTTTTCCTCCAGAAGTGTTACTGTGGCTGTGGTTCCACCTTCGGCTGTTCATGAGGGGGTCCTGGGTTGTTCGAGCAGTTGTGCGGGAGTGTGAACTTCGACGTGCTGGTCTGCCTGCGGGGTCGGGTTTGGCTTCGGCGTCTGTTTGGTTCCTTTGGAGACTCCCCTTCCGCCTCTTGCAATCGTTGGGTTCGTTCCTCCGGGGATCTTGTGTTGGTGCTGCGTCACCAGCTTCCTCTTTGGGGTTTTCGGGGTTCCGTGCCTTGGCACCTCCCCGAGCCTTCGCTCGATGTGTTCACGGACGGGTCATCTCTCGGCTGGGGCTTTGTGACCAGTGCTCACCAGGTCGGCCGGGGATGGTGGAGTCTGTCCGTCCGTCGGGCTCACAGCACGGTTCGGGAGTTCGTGGCTGTCTGGTTTGCGCTTCGGAGGGTTTGGGTCACTCGGTGCTCTACCATTCAGCTCCATTCGGACTGTTCTCTGGCGGTTCTTGCCGGAACCACAGGGTTTCTCTTAGGTGTTGACCTTTGGGGTTGGTTCCTTAGAGTGGCTCGTTTGCTGGATTCTCGGGGTTTGGCTAACCGTGAGATTCATGTCCGGGGTGTGTCCTGCGTCCTGGCGGACAGCTGTCTCGGTTCATTCCTCTGTTCGCGGATTGGCCAGTCGTCGCCGACTCGTTTCGTTGGCTCTGCCGGACGTATGGACTCCTGGCCATGGACGTCTTCGAGTCGGCGTGGTCTAGGCGTCGCCCATTTTATGTGGCGCCCTTACCCACCTGCGAGGCGTTCACGGTGGATGCTTTTCGGCAGGACTGGTCGAGGTGGGGGTACCTGTTCCTCTTCTCCCGGTCCAGCTGTTGCTTCGGGTTCTGGCTCGGTTGCAGCCCATTCCCACGAGAGCAGTCCTTATGGTTCCTTGGTGGCCGGCCCAGCTTTCTTTTCAGACGCTGCTTGATAGGTGTCCGAACCCGGGGCGTTTTCCCGCGGCTCCGCCTCTTTCGGCAGGTCGGATCGGTCCTGTACGTGACTGGTTCGGCCTTCTCCTCGGCTCTTCGCGTCTGGTATTTTGACGCGGGTATCACCATCTCTGTGGTGTTCAGGTGGCCTTGTTGACGGTGTCCCACCTGCGAGCTTCGTCTTGGCGACAGTATGACGTTCCTGGTGTTTCTATGCACTTTTTCTTGCTCTTTGTACGTTGTCTTCTCTTTCGCATCGGGTTGTCTTGTCATTTCTTGGGTTTTCAGGACTACAGTTATTTGATGTTTCTTACTGTTGCCTCGTTTTGTGCGGCGCTGGCGGAGCCGCTCCGGCTTGCGTTCGGGGTGGACGTCACATCTGCCCCGTTTCGTACGCTTTCTCGTGTTTTGTTTCACCTCCGGCCTGCTCATGCGTCGCCTGAGCCGTCCTGGTCCTTGATCAGGGTGCCTTCTTATCTTCTCCTCAGTTTGTGGTAGCCCCTTCGGTTCAGGTTTCTGCTCTTTGGTACTGGTGGTAGATTTGTACGTGTGCAGCCTTTCTCCGTCCTGGCGACGGTCGAGACGGCTGGTTTCCGGAGGGGTTCTTGGGTTATTGATGCTTGATTGGTTTGGCCGGGGGTGCGTCCTGTGTTGTCCGGTTGCGCTTTTTGCCGTTACCTGCGTACCGTGTCTGGGGATGCGCTTTGGTTTGATCCGGTTCCCCTCGTTCCCTGTTTCAGGGCTCGGGTCTCCCAGGTCGTCCGCAGAGTTTTTCAGTCTTCCAGCCTGCGGTCTGTCTTTGCGCCCGTGCTGTTCGGACGTTTGCAGCTTTTGCTGCTGTGTTGGTGACGTCTAGGGCTCATTTCGGGCGCAGGGAATTGAGGGTCGCACAGGTTCTTGGCCGCCCATTCTTTATGCGCGTCTGCTCCTGTGCGTTCTTGTTGCCTTGGGTCGCAGGTTGCATCCTGTTGTCTCGGCTTCGCGTTGCGGAGTTTGTGGCGGCCGCCTCCCGGGTTAGCCCTTTCTTTTCCTTCTCTTTGGGTATGAAGCTCCAGGGAGCCGTAGGGGCTCCCCACAGAAAACCAGCGTTGAATGTAATGAAACGCCATTTTCTGGGTGAGCCCCGGAGGCTCCCTGGCAACCCTCCCTCCCACCGGTCGGCGTTTTTTTCGCGTTGGTTGAAGCTTAGCTTCCGAACTGAAGCTTGGCAGCCGGCGCGGTAGGTCCGGGGCTCCCCCCTCCCCCTCTCGGGGCGGGGAGGGCTGCGCGGACGATCGGCGCGGCAGTAAAGTGTGATGTTTGCTTGTTTCCTTGGGATTGTAGGGAGTTTCTACCTCTCTGTTCGTTTTTTTGTTTTAGTTTTTTACCATGTGGGGTTTGTTTTGTTATGCCTACCTTTCTGGGTGCCTAACCCCGGTCGATGGCAGATAAGGAAAACCCCAACCACAAGGGGGTTTTCCAGGGCCATTGCTCCCTGAAACCTCTCTGAAGGGGCCAGGTTCTGGCGCTGGTCCCTGGTAGGTCTGAACTCCTTAGCTAATGTCCCGGTCTAATATAACATACATTAGCCCGATAAGCTCCAGGGAGCCTCCGGGGCTCACCCAGAAAATGGCGTTTCATTACATTCAACGCTGGTTTTTTGCATGTCATTTTGAAAAAAAAAAAAAATTATTTTTTCTTCCTAACCTGTTAATTTGTGTTCACTGATCATGGGAAAAATAATAAAAAAATCGTAAGTGGCATATATTGCCCGCTATAGGGCGGGGAAGTCTGGCAAATTATAGGCGCTGACTCAGCGTGCGTCCCAGGCGGTCTGTTGCTCGCAAGCTGTCAGGCCGGAGTTGCCACAAAGAGATAATTACCTAATTATTTCAATGTCTCTGATTGATTTTTCATACTTTTTTTGCTGTAATATTATTCAATAGTGTGTAGTTTGATATATTTATATAATAAAATGAGTGAATCATTGCTATACTCAAAAATATGGTGTGCATATTGTTGATTCAATTATGTTCACCAATCAGTGAACAAATACTTTGTCGGTTATTACACTATAAGCACAGGTTATATATAAGTATCTGCATGTTTTGTTCACTATAACGAACCACTAAGTAGCTATTATGAGTCAAAAAGTAACGAGGAGTGACCGCCGTGTACCAGCCAGCCACTCCTGCCCTCCCTCAAGTCATCTCACTCGCCCACATTCTCCTCCCACAATACTGTTTTTGCTATAATTCACTATATACAGACGTTATATATAAGTATCTACATGTTTTGTTCACCATAACTGTACATCTAAGCTTGTATGGTGAGTAAAGGCACAAAGAGTAGGACCTCACACAGTCAGCTGGACTCACACAGGCTGCCGCCCTCAAGGCCAGACGCACTAATATTTCTCCTCCAACAATACTGTGTGGTGTTATTACGCTATATACACACATTATATATAAATATCTATCTGTTTTATTCACCATACTTGTACAAATAAACTGGTATGGTGCCCAAAGACCATTGTAGTAACCAGTAAACAACACCGTCGTTTACTGCACGACGCCACCGCCCTCACCAAAATGGCGGCTCCCAACCTTCTCTTGCTGCAAAATGGCTTTATACCCTCTATACACACGTTATATATAAGTATCTACATTTGTGTTCACCATAGCGAACCACTAAGCTGGCATGGTGAGTGCAGTCAATAAAAGATGGTCACACACAGTCAGAAGACATCGCCACAACCCTCCCTCCCACAGCATTACTCCTCCCTCCATGGAGCACAGCGCTAAATATCACCACAATCCTGCTATTATCAGAACCCTGGTCAGTTTTATCACAGTCAGGGGTCTTCTGTAATAATATCATCGCTACATAATAGCATGAACAAGTATATTTTGGCATTTTTAGGCGATGCTGTGGTCACAAGCTGAACAGCAGTGCTGTTAGCTCATGCTGCGTGCGTCAGGCTTGGTTGCTCACTCAATACTGAGGCCAATAACACCTGAGAGTTTGGCCCACGATTTTTTTAAAAAATGGCATCTGTTTACAAGAGCCCTGATGAAGGTGTGGTGAACCCCGTGTATCCGCGGGCCGTTTAAATCTTGCGTAGTACTCCAACACATCATATGACGTGATGCGCAGTTGACTGGAACAACGTCCAACACGTCATATGACGTGATGCGCACTTTAAGGGTTAATTTATGAAGTATTTATGGTATTAAACTAATCCAACTATAAATGTATACATTTATGTTGGGTTAGTTTACACAAATTTACAGTAAATTATTTACATACAAAAAAGTCAAAATAAAATGTAATAACTATAGAGAAATTATACACTGTATACTCAAGATTTAGATGTAGAAGCTACATTTATGTGCAGGAGTATAGGACATTAAAAAAGAGGGATGAGCGAGACATTTTCATTATCATGCATAACCTACAGTTATATTGAAGTTAGTTTAATGGTTTCAGGAGTGGGAAAATCGTCTTTAGTTCATCTCATATGTCATGGACAGTCTCTCAGCAATTCATCTTGGACAATTGGCTGTAGTGTGGAAGTTCGTGTTCACGAGTATCGTGAAGGAACACCAAGTCAGCGGCCATATTTTGTGGAGCTCTGGGATGTTGGTGGAAGCAACTCTCATAAGAATGCTCGACATGTGTTCTACAATCCAGTCCATGGTTTGTATATTAATACAGTTCTCTAGCCTAATTTTTATTTAATAGATTAATTTAAGTGGCCCAAAGCAACTCTAGAATGATTTTTAAGATTTACATTTCTTTGAAATTTAGTCCTAAAACATAAACACAGTTACTAAAAACTAGATTTATAAAAGCAATTTACTTAAACAAAATATTTTAAATTCTTTTCTGAGGTGAGCCCTGTTGGCTCCCTGAAGCTAACAAACTGATATCCACCATATTAGTCTAGATCATCAGTTACTGGAGTGTTTATGCCTACCAGGAACCACGAGCCAGAACCTGCTTTCCTCAGAGAGGCAAAGGGAGGAGTGGCTTATGAACACTCCACTTTTGAGAGTATTGTCATGTCTGCCATTGACTTGGCAGAAAAGTAGGTAGATAACAAAAATTATCACCCAAAAAGGTAAGTGAACCATTACAAGCCTAAAGCTAAGAACTTAGCCAGAGGCTAAGAACCCCCCCCAAGAAGAAAACAACAAGCAAGCAAATGTCCACTCAACCAGTGCGCCCGCTCGTTAGCCCCCCCCCCTCCTCAAGGCGGCCCAACCGCTCACACCAGCACTTCATCGAATGATGCTCTGTAGAGCTCACGCTACCTCTGGCTTCATTCTCCTGCTGGATTTTATCCTGTGTTTGTGCTGGCTGTGTGATTATTGTGTGGTGGCCAGGTGTTCTAAGAAGTACTCTGGCTGCATGCATCTAGGGTTCCCTTCCCTAGGTGCGCTGTAGGTACTGCCCTTGTGTGTTCAGGATTTTTTTCCTCTGGTACGTTTGGGATTACACTTCCATTGAGGTTGTATTGCTTGTCATTGATCTTGCCCTTGGGGTTCAGTAAGGGTCGTGGGGTTTGGCCCTGGGTAGTGAGTGCTGTTGTTGCTGGCTGGGGTGCACAGTGTTTTGCGCAGCTTGCATATTCGCGGTGGTCATCTCTCTCTTTCTCTCTGGCCTCTGGTTGTCTGTGGTGTATTTTGGAGGGTTTCATGTGTTTATTTGTATTTTTCCTGGAGGTGGTTTGCCTAGCTTCTGGTTAGGTTCACCTAGGTTGTGTTTGATGGTCCTCCTGTGGGCCCCCTCGAGTTTGCACGCACAGCTTCCTGGGGGTCAGTTTGCTCTTTATTAGATGGGGTTCAACTGGCTTTAGCTACACCAGTGCCTGGGCTCCCCATCCAGATTCCTCCTCCTGTGGGGCCTGGTAAACCCCTTGGGGCACGTTGCAACCATGGTTATGTCTTCTGAGTCCCCACTCACATTGTGTAAGTTTGAAGGTTGTTTGTTGTCTCTTGTATCAGGGTGGTGATCATCTTTTCTGCCTCTGTCATCATGCCACTTGTTGGGTTGGTGACACCTACGACCCGGAGTCGTGTGGACCTGTTCCCCGCTCGTCCTCCAACTTACCTGTTCCTCAGAAGCCCTTAGGGGTCAGGTAGCAGCAGCAATGCTGTTTAGGTTTTTGTTGTTGCAATGCATCCAGTTCGTGATGCAGTTGGATGCCCCAGAGCTGCCTCGTTTTGGTTTTAGGAACCAGGAATTGGGGGTTTTGGCCACTTTGACCTTGGTTTTACTCGCTCCCCCAATTCCTACCTGGTGGGCATGGTTCGCCCTGCTCCTTCCCCCTTGTTCCTAGCTCCCAAACGTCTGAGGGTCTTGGAGTTGGGGGCAAGGGTTTAGCTCAGGATGAGACTTGGGTGATTTTGGGGGCTGCCCCATCTGATGTGGGTATGGAAGCGGTTGAGTATGATTGTTCGGCCGAAGCTTTTGGGTCCTCCTGGCAGACTTTGATGCTTTTCCCCTTGGACTCGGCCTTTTCTTTAGGGGGCAGTAGGCCTGGATGTGGGTTCGGCCCAGGGTCTATGTTGAGGGTTCCCGGAGCATGGGGGGGAGTCACCTTGGGGCTCTTGGGCCCCATTTGACCCTGCATGGGCTTTGGTGCCTTCGGGGCAGGGGTTCTTGTTACAGGATTCGGGGTTTTCATATCCTTCTTACCTGTACGAATTTGATTTGGGGGCGACTTTCCTCCCCCCATCCCCCGGGTTCATTTCCAGGTGCCTATGGGTTCTTCAAATTCATCTTTCCAGAGGTTTTCTTCTGCTTGGATTTCCTCTACAGAGATTCAGGAGGCCCTTGGTGGTTTCCTCCTGCGAGACCCGGAATTCGCCTCTATTCTGGATATGACCTCTTTTGAGTTCGGTTTCTCTTCCCCACATTGGGTGCATTATGAGGCTCCTGGGTTGTCTTGGCTTGCAGACTGCCCTTTCTTTGCTCTTTGGGCTTGGATGGGTTTTGTCGTACCCGCACACTTGAGTGGTAGGAAGTTTTCCTCGGTTTTACAGGGTTTTCTTGGGGGCTCTTTTGAGCTCCTCAATTAGTACCTCTATGCCCCTGCGCTTTCTCGTGAGGTTGGGTTGCTGCAGTTGCACACTCAGGTCCCCATGCATTCGGCTGCATTAGTAGCTGAGGATCGTTGCTCTCGCGGTCATTTGGCTTCGATTTTGCGCATCTTTAGTCTTCTGGAGCTGTGTTTTGACAGGCTTTTGGAGGATTTCATTCATTGAGTGCTTGGTCTTCGACTACAGTGCTGGTCTCTATTGTGCGGGCGTCGGCAGCGTTGCTGAAGCTTTTTGCCTCTATCCTCCGGGAGGCGGTTTCCACGTTCCACGGTTCCACGTTATTGCCTCCTGCCTCGTGTGTCGACAAGTTGTCCTTGCTCTCTCTTGACTTCACTTGGGCCCTGGCTCTTCAATCTTTGACTCCCCTTTTGTCCATTGTTGTTTTTGGATGCCATTGTGAGTCAGTTTTTGACGGCTGCATCTTCCAGTTGCTGTCCTATTTCTGATTTGCTGGTGGGGGGGGGGAAGAGGGTGTCGTTCCCGGTCTTCCTGGTGTGGTTGTGCCAGGGTGGATCCTTTTCCTTCGGGGGGGGGTTCGAGGTTGGCGGGACAGGCCTCTTCTCCTGCGCTTTGTTGAGTCAGAGCTATGACTTCCGTAGCTCGAGGTGGGCCAGTAGTGCCAGCTTCTGAGCTGGTGATTCCTCTGAGGCTCATTGCTCCTCGTGCCTCTCTTGAGGGGGCCAGGTTCTGGCTCATGGTCCTCAGTAGGCAAGAACTCCTAGCACTTTGATGCCAGAAAGTTACACATATCCATTCAGCCTGGATAGCTCCGGGGAGCCTCCGGGACTCACCCAGAAAATGGCGATTCATTACATTCACGCTGTTTTTTTTTTGGTATGCGCCTGTGGGTGACAAATGCTAATTAGCCATGAGCCACACAAGGGTTAACAAATTCAACACAATTAATAAACTTGGGCATAATTTTGAATTTGTGTTTCAAATGAATATCCAGTCTTCAACAAGATGAGCATTTTGTTGTTGCTTTATTAATAAGCAACACCACCATGTTGACAAGTTACATGTGTGAAGTTACAAAGTTTCAACCCAAAGACAAAAACTAGCTTACCAGTGCCACTGATATGTGGTACCACCACATATCAGTGGTGGTACCACATATTTGTGCCATCTCACAGCTCTGGTGGATTTTCCCACTGATGTATGTGTGTAGAACTGTTGTCATTTAAACCAGACTGGGCCAAAATAACAAGCAAGCCACCAGTCACATTGAATGAGGAAATTTTAAATCGATTTATTTTATTTGATATATATGATTGATTAATTGTGTAAAATAAAATAATCGTTAAATTATATGTCGAACAGTTTCAGATTTAAGCACAAGAATAGGGATCATGAGTGTATGTGATATGTTTTACCTGGGTTGCAAGTAATGAAGTGTGAAAAACCCTGCTTTATACAGGATATATATATATATATATACTGTAACCCTGCGATTATCCAGGATTCAAACATCCGGAAAACGCCCTTATACGGCCAAAATCGTGATCGGATAAAGTTATCACAATATCAGGCCAAAATGGCCACAGGAACCGGATAAAAGCTGGTTTGGCTGGATGAAAATACGCCATACCGTATTAATCCCATCTGTGGCTCTAGACGCACTGTGGAGGAGGGGGTGGAGTGGGTGGGTGGTGTTGGGAGGGACCACCTGGGTACAGGAAATACCATTAATTTTAGAACAATTAATCATAGCCAAAAACAAATGAAATAAGTACTAGTAATTATGTAATAACAAATAAATAAGTTTCCTAAAAGCATTGTGCACAGGCTGAAGTTTCCTTAAAAAATATTGTGAATTTTTTTCCTCCTGGCGGCCTACGTAACGTGCTATAGCTGCCCCACCCCAAGTGGACCCGTCCAACACTGGTCAACCCATGTGCGTCTGTCCCTCGTGTTATACACAGTGCTGCGCCATTAGTGAAATATTTTTTTAAATAACTTTTTTATTTTCATAGTAACTTTGAACATTTTTGGCCAAGACTATGTCTGGTAGCAGCATCAATCGTTCTGGAAGTGTTAAGAGGAAGAAGATTGTCCTAGCAATTAAAGACAAGTTACGTGTTGTTCAATACAGTACAACCTCGATTCAACGTACTATATGGGACCAACCCCAGTTCATTGGAGCGTTGGATTCGTTGCAAGAGGTGACCTTCAGGAGGCGTTTGTGTCAGTGTCTTTTTTTTCTTGTATACAATAAAAATGCATTATCATATTACATACTCTACCGATATATTACTTTTCTACTAAAAAATACTGTAATTCATAAATTTACCTTATTGTTGAAGTTATGTCCATCTTGAAGTTTCGTGAAGTTGTGAATGCTCTACATTAAATACGTACTGCAGTGCATTATTCCGTTAGCACTGTGTTGATTAAAAGTAGTTCTGCTGTATGTTGAGTACTACAATACAGTTTATGAAAACTATTGTACACTAAAATTACTGCAACTTTAATTTTAACACTGTGTACACACTTAAATTTAACACTTGTTCTAACTGTTCACGCTGCACACGATGTTTTTAGATGTTTGCATCAGCTTTGCTGGTGCTCGCTGCTGCTGTGGGTTCAGCTGCT